GTCTGTCTTTGCTGACTGGTGAGCTGTTAGGGTGACCAGACAGCAAACGCGAAAAATCGGGACGGGGTGGGGGGAAATAGGAGCCTATATAAGAAAAAGACTCAAAAATCAGGACTGTCCCTATAAAATCGGGACATCTGGTCACCCTATGAGCTGTGCTCTGGAGAGCGTCCTTTGCACAAGTGCCGTGCAATAGAGATGGATCTCCGTTGTCATGAATATAAAGGGTACTCTTTCTAAGGGGGCTGCTGGACACAGATGGACCAGGAGGGTCTCTCTGGTTCCCTAGCTCTCAGACTGTGCTGCCATTGTCACGGCGCAACATCTTCCTTAGGCCTGGCCTGAGTGGTCCTGCCGGGGTCTGCTGCCTGCTGTGTGCGTGGGAAATGTGCTCCGGGCTGGGGGTGAACGCAGTTGTCGTTTGTTGTGCAGCGCCTGGTGTGCATGAACATGCCTCTGAACAGCGATGGCACCGTCACCTTCAACGCCACTCTCTTCGCTCTGGTGCGGACTGCCCTCAAGATCAAGACGAAAGGTGAGGGACACGCTCTGTCTGCTTTGGTGCCCTGCCCTGCCAGCATAGCGCTGGCTGGTACATCTATAGAGACTGCCTCCAGAATGCTTCCCTAGACCCACCCATGCAGGGGTCCCTCCCCAGCCATCAGCGTGAGATGTGAGTAATATCGGCTACCCTGGTGCATTTCATCTGAGACCGAGGGCCAGATCCTTTGCTGCTGCAAATCAGCATGACTTGACTTCAAAGGAGAGTCGCCTGTTTACACCTGCTGGGAACTTGGCCCCTTGTAATTTAGCCTCACAACACCCATGTGAGGTAGGTGAGGGTTGTGTAGGGATCCTTTCACCCATCCACAGAATGCTGCTTTCTTCTCTGAGGAGTGTCCCTGGCGGTGCTCCACCCCAAGCACCTTTGATTGGAGATGTTCACTAGCAGTGCCTGTTCGTCCCATGCATGCACTCCAGACATCCCCGGGCTCTGTACTGAGGGTATATAGAGCTGCCCAGGCAAATTGCCCTCGATTCCTTCTCAACTCCCCGCTGGCCTGAGACAGAGCATCAAGCTTGCCCTCTTCCGCTTTGCTCTAGCTTAGCCTCGAGTTCCTAGTTCAAGGTTTAGTTTAGTTTACTTGCCTCTCTCCTTTATTTTATAATTGTCCCTCTTCGGTTAATTTGAGGAGGTTCTGCTTAATAGCCCCCTTTTTTCCTCCTCCCCCTTCCTGAGGGGTTTGCCTTGGGATTGTCATCAACCTGGTGTGCCAGGATTCCTGGGATGCAAGCGCTGCCTTTCCTGCTGGGAATCGACCCTGGTCAGCGACGGACATTCCCAGTGTATCCGCTGTCTGGGACACACCTTCAATTCCAGCCAACTCCAAGATCTGCTCAGCTTTTCAAAGCAGATCTAAAAACTCCTGGAGATTCAGCTTAGGATCCTCATGATGGAGCTCGTCGTCCAACCAGCTCAGGGTCCAGGCCCAAGAGACCCCCTGTACAGCCTCAGCCAAGTGAGCACAGTGCCCCTCAATCGCCGTACCCCCCTCGCCTAGGACTTTGCGGGTAGGAAGACAGAGCGCACTGCTAAAATTCCTAAGCAGAGTTCTGGCTCTCCTCCTGGATGGCCCACTTCAAACGACCCTCAGTCACCGTCAAGATCGACCGTTTCAGAGACCTCCTGTCCCAGGTGTCAGGAATGAGGGCCTGCAGCTGAGCCTGGGACTAGCTAGTCTCCAGGCATAGCAAGCCCAGATGGGCTGCAGTAGAACCACCTGACTGGCTGAAGGGAACCAGCCAGTGTGCTTGTAAGCCCAGCAGCAGCAGCAGGTCACTGGCTGCTCAATGCTTCACCCACAGCTGCAGTCACCCCAGGCCTATCTTGCTCCAGCCTTGTTCTGCCCACTCCCAGCCCTGCCCCAGCCTGATTCCTGTTTAAACCCAGTTTACTCTGGCTCTGGACTCTGACTCCTTCTTCCTGACTCTGGTTCTGCCCCTTGGGTCCGGACTAAAGCTCTGATCCTTGGTTCTGGTTCCCAGTCCCTCCTTGCTCTGGCTCCAACTAGTAGGCTGGGCTGCCCCGGTCCTGACACCGGGAAGGGCACCGCTGAGGCTCCATCCTGCTACAGAAATGACCCTAAACGCTCTGCCTCTAAAAAGTCTGTAGCATAAACAGACTTTTCAATACCACCTCCAGTGCCTAAACATGTGACCCTGACAGCAACATCGGTTCCTCCGAGCTCAGCATCTTCAGTATCAGCGCTATTGACTAGACAGATG